CTCGACTGTGGAGAGGCAGAGACATCCGCAAAACCATCCAGAAGATGTGCATTTCTCTACCCTAGTGTCCATGTGCTTGTTGTGATGGTTAAAGGACTTCAGTGAGGCCTGAGGATTCCAAGGCTAAGATCAATGTCTCCATAAAAGCATGTGAAGTGCCCTTGTCACGCTAGTGTCTTCACCCTCCATCTCAGCTCATTTGTACAAGGTCAGTGTTACAAAGCAGGACCGGACAAGGGCTGTGCTTCAATGATAACCTTGTCTTCCTTTTACTATAAGCTCAGAAAGGTTGCTCAAAGTCACACAGCGGAAAGTGGCAGGCCCAGCGCTGAATGTTCATCTCAGCCAACTTTACATGCTCTACAGCATAAAGTGTCCTCACCAAGCAGCCTACTGGTTCGAACACCAGCCCAGCGCTCACCTGGCAGCGTGATCTTGAGGCTGCCACGTGGCTTTTCCGTCCTGGCGATGGTCCCAGTGCCCAGGTCACAGGACAATGACAGGACTTGGTGGGGCACACATGTGAACATACACAGGGCTGGCATAAAGGTAAGTGCGTGAAGAAAGGACTGCCTCCAATCACCACAAATTTATGGAGATTTCAAAAACTATCTCTGTTATTTAAAAACAAACCCCAATCAGGGTGGGGGTAAATCTGAGGAGAAAAAGAAAAAAACGGATAAATTATGTACACTGCATTGAAGCCGATGAGGGAGAGAACAGTTTAAAAATAATCTATTTTAGGGCATTATGATTATCATAAGAGTTTGGAATGCGGGTTGCAGAGTGGAATATACTCGGGGTGAGGGTGGGAGGGTGCAGGGGGATTGTGTGTGGGTGGGGTGGGGGGGGAGAAAAGTGCAATAATTAATGAATGGAAATCCACAATCTCTCTAAATGTTCATTGAAATTAATAACAATCAAAAATAAATAAATAAATAAAAACCCCAAAGCTCACATTCATTCCCATTGAGTCAGAACTCGCTCAGAGCTGACCCTCCAGTGGGTTTTCAGAGGTTGTATATCTCACAGGAGGAAACTGTCCATCTTTCTCTTAAGGATCGACTGGTGGATTCGAACCAGCAGAGACATGCCATCTCAGGGTTAGGAGTGTTCTCCTCTCTACAGAATAGATCTATATACATCTTTGGGGAGTTCTGGTGGCCCAGAGGGTAGGGAGTTGCACTGCCAACCCATAGGTGGCCGGTTCAAGATCACCTACTACTCCTTGGGAGAAAGATGGGCAATCTCCTCCTATGCAACTTTCAGTCTCTGAGAACCTACTGGAGGGTCAGCTAGGAGTCAGCTCTGACTTGACAGGAATGATTGTGGGTACACATCTTTTAAATTTTGGGGGTAATATGAAAATCAAAGGCCTTGAATTAGTCATTCTATGAAAATGAGCCTCCATTTCTACATCTGGCAAAGGAAAAGATGATGTTATTTGTTCTAGCTCCCTCACCCGTCAGGACAACAAGCGCATGAAGATGAAAGTGTGTGTGGAAATTTAAAAGATGGGGGGGCAGGGAGAGAAATGAACAGTGCAAGGCGAGGGATGGAGGGGAAGGGGAAGAGGAAGGAAGGAGGGAGGGATGGAGATGAGACAGACACACAGACAAAAGCGCATGAGGAAGGGAGGAAAGGATGATAAAGGGAGGGAGGGAAAGGGGGGATGGGAGGGAAGGAGAGAAGTGGGGTGAAAGGGGACAGTGTGGGGGCACCACAGCTCCTGAGTGAGAAACTTGAAGAAACAGAACAGACTGCCACCTAATATTTTGTCCCAATCTCTCTCTCTTCCCCCAACGCACATACAGAGACACTCCAAGAGGGTATGAAAAGGTTTACTGCTCACATAATGAGGCTTTCTGGGAGAGAGCTGAGAGGTTCTTCACATATAGGAGAAACGACATTTTCTATTTTCCCAGTGTACATAATTCCAGTTTCAGAGGCAGGTCCAAAAATTACTTAAGAGGACAGATGAAGAACTGGCTTGAGGTTCTGCTGCAGTTAGGGGTGGGCTGGGGTGGCCTGGGCAAGGGTTTGTATGGCTTGAGCCTCTCTTTAACACCACAAGAGAAGTATAGACATAGGGCAAGGGCTCTGGTGGTGAAAACAACTGGAACTCGACTTGGCTGCTAACCAGAAGGTCACGGGTTTGAAGCCACCAGCCCCTCTGTGGGAGGACGATGAGGTAGTCTGTGTCTATAAAGGTGGACAGCCTCCGAAGTCCAGCATCAGTTCTTCTCTGTCATTCAAGGATGCTAAGAGTAGGATTTAACTGATAGCAGGTGGTTTTGGACTACCCCCCGCCCCAGTTAAGTCAAAAAGGAGGTCAGGCTTAATGACTGTAGCCATCAAAAATCATATGATGGAGTCCAACTCTTCATTGCTAGCCCTGGGTAGACCTCATCCTCATAGATGAGGAAACCAAGATTAATCCATTAAACCACCTATCGCAACAGATTTAACCGGAACCACTGTGCTTCAGAACCCACATGGCCTCCCTCAGCCACGGAGCACCCCACCTCTTATAGGGTGCAGAAAGCCCTTCACCCATGCACACAGAAAGCACCCCATCAACTCCAAGGCCCAGCATCAACCAGCCAACCAACAAAAAGTCAGCCAGCCTTAATCCATTTTCATCTCCATCAGCAGTCTGTGATTTTCTTAATACCCCCACACAATAACACACGAAAGGGAACTTCAAGGCTAGAATCTCAAGTTTCTATCACTAACACGATCATCTTTGTAGCTGAAGGAAGGAGACGCTTTTAACAAATTCTCTTCACATACAGCTAGTGTCATTCTCAATTGATCCAGTGAGCATCAGATCTTATTTCACACCATCCAAACAGCCAACATCCATTTTCTGCAGCTGTAGTTGTGTGGAGCTTCTATGCCCCTCTGGGTGATTTCTCTGTTGATACTGCTTGTTTTGTTTTTAATAGAAAATGAGAGCGAGGAATCCATTTTTTATGAGTTCTAAGGCCCTAAACAATCTCACTAAGTTCTCCTGAGTGACCAAGCCTGATCAGGTTCCAAATTCACTAAGCTTTCCTGTTAGAATTACAGTGAGTTCAGCTCACGCTTGGCTTCAGCTCTTGGAGCTCCACCTCAGCTGAGGTCCTTCACAGAGGCAAGCAGCCTCATGTGGAAGCCGGGCAGGAAGCAGCAATGTTTAGAGTCCTGTAATATCTATGTATTAGATCATAGCTCTCTTCTGCACAAATGACAGATCAAACGACAATTTAGAACAAATGGAAATACAATGCATCTCTGCTAATCATCTTTTGGAAACCCTGACGAGCCGCTATCTTAGAGCCATGAGTAGAGGCACCTAGACAGCGCCACATGGTGCTAACCCCCCAGTGTCCAGCCCCTTTCTTCTCAGCTATTGAACCTGATGGTCTGACCCACCTTCTCCCATCATCCCCATGACACTCTGGGGCCAAAATGATTTCTTTAAAAAACAGGAATTCAGTCAGACACAGGAATATACAGTTTGTTAAATGCATGGAAACAACTGCCTTCTGCAGCAGAAGTCACATAAATCACTAATTAACTGAGTAAATTAGTATGAGTCCTCGCTTTGGTTTTTCATTTGTAGTTCTCTCTCTCTCACTCCCCTAAAAAGCAAGGTTTTATTCTAATAAAATACTTCCAGTGGGTGTTTCCTCAAACAGCTCTATGCCCCAAACCTACTCCCAGTTTTGGTTTTGAGGTGGTTTTGTTTTGTTTTGTTTTTCTCTTTCTTACTCACATATATACAAACCCCACCCCACAAACATGTCCTTTGAGGAAAGGAAACTAAACCTTGTTGAAACCAATTCACAAAGAGGGGGGGGGAGGACGAGGTTAAAAAGATGAGTTCATGCTGATACTGTGCCGTGAAAGGAAAAAAAATCTAGTAACACAAATCCTTCCTGGCAAGGTCAAGTTTCTCAGTAGCATTCACCTGGGGAGGGAGGAAAGGGACTAGAGCCCATGTTAGAGATGGTAGGGTGGCCTTCTCTCCCACAGGAAAGGGAAGGTATTTGTGCACACTCTCAGCATTTGATAAATTTTTTAGGAAACAAACTCCCCCACCTCTAAAAGGGAGAAAGAAAGCGCTGATCACAAACCATGTTCTACATTCTCTCTGCTGAATGTCATTATCTCAGACAAGTTCGTTATTCATCCCAGTTTGAATGGAGGCTTGGGGTTTTTCTGTCTGCACACACAAGGAGCCCTAATCGCCTACTGCAAATGTCGGTGTTAGGTGAGTAAGTTTCCCTGGGTTTTCGCTGACTTGTAACCAAGCTCCTTATGTTGACTTTTGCCAAAAATCTCTCCGAAATTCCAATCCACTACCGGCCACAGGCATCCACAGCCACTCGCATTCTCTAAGCTTCCCTGACCAGGCGCACGCCAGGAGGCGGCCAGTCCGAAATGGGGGGGACAGCGAGCCCCACGAGCAACTACACCCCGAACTACGCTGACTGTCCCAACAGCCTCTGGAAAGCCCAGAATGGGATGGCCTTAGGCCACGGGGAGGCACCCGCCCTCTGTCAGAGCCCTCAAGGATCAGGAAAGGAACAAAGTGGCTGACCACGTAGCACGGAGGCCCCCCCCCCAACACCTGCACCCACACGCGCAGCTCTGAGACGCGCATCCACAGGGGAACAGAGGTCACCCGGACGCTCGGGGAAGGCTCGGGGAACGCGCTCCTTCCGCACAGGGCTCGGCCGAGACCAGCGGGGGCGCGCCACGAGGAGGCCCACGACTGCGCTTGGGGCACTCGGGCACCGGGCGGGGGCCAGACCCAGAGTCCACGCCCCAGGAGCCCAGGACTGGCACTTGCAGGGCTTCGAGTCCACGCGGGACAAGAGCTGAGACCCACTCCTCTCGGGAAAGCGGAGAAACCTGGACCAGGCGCGCGGACGCCCCGCGCGGGCAGGGCGCATTGGCCTGCCGGGGCAGCTGGGGGGTCCCCGGCCCGCTCTGCGGCCGCCTTCACTCACCTGGCAGTTGGCGCCGGACACCTCGGCGGGGCAGGTGCAGCTGTACCCGGGCTGGCCGGCGGCAGCAGGGGTGCACACGCCCCCGTTCAGGCAGGGTTGCGCGGCGCACGGCCCCGG